TCAATAAGCCAATGTGTTTTATACTGTTATATCTAACAAAACTTTTTTTTTTGTTTTGTTTTTTTGTTTTTTTGAGACAGGGTTTCTCTGTGTAGCCCTGGCTGACCTGGAACTCACTCTGTAGACCAGGCTAGCCTCGAACTCTCGAACTCAGAAATCCACCTGCCTCTGCCTCCCAAGTGCTGGGATTAAAGGCGTTCACCACCACCGCCTGGCCAAAACTGTAATTCTTATCCAATATTCACCCACATTCGACCTTACTAACTACACTCCCCTTGAGACATTTGGTGGCTTCTGTAACAACACATTCAACTCCTCTGACCTTCACAGTGTTCTCTGGGAGCTCATATTCTTCCAGTAAACTTTTTAAGGCCACTGTGCTTCCACTCCAAGGCATCATCTCTATTTTCCTTCCTAGTATTCCCTCCCAGGGCAATTTCACCTGTATCTATTGTTTCAATTACCCATTCAACGTTTTGCATCTCCCTTGACTACTGCTAAAAGCCTCATATGCACTAGTGCTGCCCCTCCTTCAAGACCTAGCACCATAATGCCAGTTCTGTCTATCCTACCAAACTACCAAAAATACATCCAACACAGCTTCTAAAGGAACTTTTTTTTTAAAACAAAAAGACAGGTTACATCACTCTACCTTTAGCCAAGTACTCCTGGATTTCTATGTTTCAACAAATGACAGATTTAAGGCCATAAACTGCCACTCTTCCTTTTAAAAGGACTCCTGGGCTAGAGGGGGTAGCTCAGCAGAAAAAAAAAAAAAAACAACTTGCTGTTCAATAGTGAGGACCAGAGTTTGAATCTCAGCAGTCAAGTGGCTCAAGTCAAGTTACAAACACCTGTAACTGAAGTTTTTGGCCTCTGCAAGCACCCAAATGCACATGTGAACAGACACTCAAGAGACACATACATGTGTGCACACATAAAAAAAAAAAATGTGGACTCTCTTTGAACATGGTCTATATTCATGAATTAAATAATTTGGCAAATTATTCAACAGTTGAATTATTCAACTTTAAGAACCTATAATAAACTTTAAAAACTATAATACTAGCTTTAATAGTTACAACAGAAAGCATACAAACCCATCAAATAGTTGTCATTTACCACTATAATGCTATGCATTGTTCACATTTTTAGGAGTAAAACATTGACAAAATGACAAACCTTGTGCCAGTGAGATGACTCAGCAGGTAAAGGCACTTGATACAAAGTCTGGTGATTTAGTCTGATCCCTAAGGTCCATAAGACAACCCACTTCCCCAAGTTGTCCTCTGAACTCCATTCATGTGCTGTATGTACACATGCACGTACACTTGCAATACAAATAAATGTAATAAGAAAGAAAAAACTAAGACAAAGCCTGTTCTCATGGAAGTTGCATTAGACTGAAGAAACATAATAAACTGTTAGATTAACAGTAGTATGTTAGAAAGAAATAAAATGACGTGGGGAAAAACTGACATAGAATGTTGTAGGAGAGTGGGAGACAGGGATGCTGTTTCAGAGGCAGCAGTCAGAGAACACCTCGGTAGCACTGGAGAAGTGTGGTCAGAGAAAAGGTAAGAAGATGGAGTCAGACAAGAAACCTAAGTAACTTCAGAGTTATCTAAAGGCCTCAGTGAGAACTATGGATTTACTGGGACTGAAAAAGAAAGCCATCTGAGAAGGTAAGTAACGTAATCTAATACAAAAGGCTCATTCTGGCTGGAGAGTGTTAAGACTGGGTTAACAAAGATAAATGGTGTTGTCATGTTTGTCTTTTTAGGAAGTTATTTTCCAAGCAAGAGAGGATGGTGTTTTAAAATTCTCACATTGAAATTTTATTGTGCTACAATTTTAATTTTTAAAAAAGGACAAAATTCAAAGATAATTCTTAGGAATAAAATTCAAGATATATTTTTCAATTAACTTATTACTATTGTGCTAGGAGTAGGGGCATACAACATGGCACACACAGTGAAACCAGACAGCAACTTTCATCCTTGTATGAGTTCCAGGACTGGACACTCAGGCGATCTTTACTCAGTGAATCATCTCAGGCCCACAAAGCCCCTACTACCAGACGGTGGGACTGGCAATTTTAACTCTAGGCTCTTCCGGTTGCTAGAGTCACCACTGCTCAGATGGGAAACAAAGTGCAAGGTGAGGAACAAAATTTTAAGAATTTGGGTTTGGAGACTAGAAAGATGGCTCAGCAGTTAAGAACACTTGCTGTTCTTCGAGAGAATGAGAATTCAGTTCCCAATACCCACATCTGGTGGTTCACAACTGTCTGTAACTCTAGCTCCAGGAGATCGCACACCTTTTTCTAGCCTCCATGGACATATGTAAAGTAAATGTTTAAAACAACAACAACAACAACAACAACAACAACAACTGACCTGGGTTTTAAAGCTAGTACAACTGTAATTCCCAGCACTTGGGAGGAGGAGGCAGGAGGATCAGAAGTTCACGGCCACCATGAGCTATATGATATATAAAACTCATCTGATTTTCAGTAGGTAAGTTAAGGCAAAATGCCATTTACATCTAAAAGGCAAGAACAGATGGTGGGATACACAGTACACATTATTTCATAACTAGCTTTTGCTACTTTGAGGCACATTGCTCTCTTAGAATGGTGGTCTTACTATCTTGCATTGAAGTACCTAAAATTCGCAGTCATTAGGCTGATGGGTAGTTACCATTATACTTCATTACTAAAGGTATCTGTCAATGATAATTTGACAATATATTAGGTATGCTTCCATGAAAAAAAGCTCATAAACTGATCGGGGCTCTAAGGCAGATGGAAAAATTGAGAATATCTAATAGAAGATCCATAACTACATGAAGGAAATCCAGGAAGAAAATTCTTAAGATTTTCTCTGTATCACACTTTTAAGTAACCTAATTTACACTTTCTTTTGTATTTCTCTCCTTTTTCATATTGAAGACTGCCTTTTTAGTATATTTACAGAAGGGCAACAGCATTCAAGTTTTTTTGGGGTTTTTGTTTTTGTTTTGTTTTTTCCCCAGACACAGGGTTTCTCTGTGTAGTCCTGGCTGTCCTGGAACTCACTCTGTAGACCAGGCTGGCCTCAAACTCAGAAATCCGCCTGCCTCTGCTTCCCAAGTGCTGGGATTAAAGGCATGCACCACCACCGCCCCCAGCATTCAAGTTTAACCCAACTAAAAACTTAAAATGTGCTTCAATTTGAAAGATAAACTCCACTATAGTAAAACTGAATGATTGTTTACTATTTACAAGCACCAGGAAAAGAAAAAAACTATTAGCTAAAGTGAAGCTACAGTAAGAACTGCTAAGCTTTGAAAAACTGACCACAAGTGAGGCTAGGGTGGCGCACGCCTTTAATGCCAACACTCTAGAGGCAGAGGCAGGCCGATCTCTGAGTTTGAGGCCAGCCTGATCTACAGAGCGGGTTCCAGGATGGATAGGGCGACACACAGAAATCTTGTCTAGAAAAACGATAAAGAAAAAAAAAAAGACTGCATAAACAAAATGCAAATTAATTCACATCTAAAGATATTTTAAATTTTTGTTTTTTCTGTCTAATTGGGTAAACAACAACAAAACCCTACCAACCCTTTACTTCTGGTTTTTAAATAATAGTAAAATGGCTAAGGGGCGGGGGGGGGGGGGGGGGGAGGGCAGCGTGGTGTGGTGAGACGGGGTTACACAACTAAAAATGTTACTAAAAAATATTGGTTAAGCCAGAAAGTGGTGATGCACGCCTTTAATCCCAGCACTTGAGAGGCAGAGGCAGGCGGATTTCTGAGTTCGAGGCCAGCCTGGTCTACAGAGTGAGTTCCAGGACAGCCAGGACTACACAGAGAAACCCTGTCTCGAAAAAGAAAAAATATATATATATTGGTTAAATACAAGGTCCAAGAATCTATTGCCTTCACTGTTATGGAGCTGCGGCAAATAAATCACACATGAGTTATCTTTTCCTTGGAAATGAGAAAACGCATTTATTGATACGCTTTTCCCAAAATTCAGAGAAAACTGCCCAAACTGGGGGAAATTTTAATACTACCATTTATTAGTCAAGGCACACTAAAAACTTTTTTGGTCAGTTTTGCCTAAATACGCTAGTTCGCTGCTAGTATAAGAACGGCATCCAAAATGAATGAAAAAAAAAAAAAGCAGTGATCAACACTGTAAGACGGTAGTTTTACATAGTACAATCAGCATGTAAAACTCACACTGCGTACTGTTTACTACATCACACACGAAGATGATTAACTCTGTCCTGCTGTAATACGGTATTATACATATTAACGCAAGGGGACTGTAGTTCACCGTTTCAATCTGGGAACGTTTCCCTCAAATCGCAACCAGATGTCTTTTAAATTAATTCTTCGAGATCCGTGCAAGGCGAGCATATATCCGTAAACCTTCTAAATGGTACAGGATCCCCGGGTCTCAGCCTGAGTTTCGGGCTCCTGACCGGTTAGACCGTTGTCAGCCCAGGCAGCGGGTTTTAAAAAAATGAGGCGGGGGTGGGGAGGCGGCCGCCGAGGGAAAGGCCGAGGCCAGGCGCCGGCTCTTCCTCATTCAGGCGCTGGAGAGGTCACAGCCTAGTGAAGTTTGGTTTCACCAGCGGGGCCGGGAGGCTCGGAGCCGAACGCGAACTCCAGGGTAAAGCAGCCAGCCTGGGAGCGCCCGGAAGCCCGGCCGACACGTTTCCACCGAGGGTGGGGGAGCTGCGGGCCGGGCCTGGAGCCCCTTCCTGCCTCGGCCGAGGCCCCGCAGCCCGCGCCGCCCCGCTCCTAGGCCCCGCGCGCCCCGAAACCGGACCTCCGCCCCGCGCCGCCCCGCGCCGCGGCTCCAACTTTGCTCGCAGCGAAAAGACGCCGCCCGAGCCGCGCGCGAGCCCCAAACTTTGCCCGCCCTCCCGACGCCCGGCCCGCGCGCCCCGCCGCGCCGCGCTGCGCCCCGGGCGGCCCGTCCGCTCTCCCTGGCCGGCCGTGTTTACCTCAGGCCGAGGTCCAGGCGTCGTTCCGGCGGCCGCGCCAGCGCAGGAGGCCCGGTCTCCGTCAGTTCGCCGCTAAGTTCTGCACCATGGACTCCTCGGGCCGCTCGGAAGCGCGCGCGGCCCGCGGGCTCGGACGGTCGGGTCGGGAGCACGCAGCCACGCAGCAGTAGACCCGGGCAGCGCTGCTCCGCGCGGCTTGCGCCACCGCCGCTCCCCTCCCCCGCCGTGTCTGGCGGCTCCCTCCCTTTCTCCCTCCCTCCGCGGGGCTCAGCCGCGCCGCCACAGGTCGGCGCGCTGTGGTGACGACGCGGGCGGGCGGGCGGGCGGGCGGGCGAGCGGCTGGACTCGCCGCACGCTGCCTGCTCGCGGGCGCCGCAGTGCTCCACCGGACCTCCAGGGGGCGCGGGCGAGCTGCGACGGACAGACGGACGTGGTGGGCGGGGCACGCCGCCTGGCCGGAGAGCGGGAGCTCCGGCAGCTGCGAGTGGCCGGGACTTCTGGGAAACATTCTTCTCGCCCCGCCCTCCTGCCACTCGGGCTGATACGCGCACGCGCGGCGCTCAGGCCTGCCCCGCCGCTCTCTCTGGTGGCCTTTCTCCTGGCAGGCTCCGTGGGGACAATAAAGATGTTTTGGAGAGCCTGCAGTCCCGAGAAGAACTCGTGCGCTGTTGGCACGGATGAAGTACTCAGCCAGCTGCCTAGGCGCACGTCCGCGGGGACCCGCCAGCCCGGGACGCAGTCCCACGCCCTAACTCCGCATCACAGAGGCTAGCCGAGCATGGCTGGCTTTAAGTGCTTCCACTTTCAATCATTCCTCGATCTCCTGCCCTGCAGCGCCCTCGGATCTTTTGTTTCACCTCGGAGGTGTCTTCACAGGCTTTTCGTCAAGCGCTGGCTTGTTCACCCCCTGCCCCACGCTCTCTCGCCTTTCCTAGTTGCCCTCTTGCTGCCCACGCTGTCATCTGGCCATCACAGCCCGGGTTGTTCCCTCCCCACTTCGAGCCCAGCGGGTCACTGATATCCTCGCGTTCTCCCAGTCTTCAGGCTGCAACGTGCCATGCCCTCCTCTCTGATCTTGTCGCTTCCCTGGCACCTTCATCCTGTGCTGCTTGGCTGTTCAATGCCCGTCACGTCACACCGAAGATGGGATGGTGTCTCACCAAGCTCTTGACTGAGCCGAGCACCAGCAAGGGTCTGGGTAAATAACTGCTTAGGAATGCATGAATGGCAGCCTTGTCTCTCGCAAAGTCGGCTGCTTTGCAGTGCGTTATCTTCATAGGCTTGGAAAACTTGATGGTGTTGCTGTATTTTGCAGTGATTTAGAAGTGTTAAAATACTTTGTTCTGATGAAACGACTTTCAGAGGGACCTTTTCCTTATAATGATGACGACTGAAGCTGGTGATTAGGAGACCCTAAAAACCTGTTGAAACTGTTGTGTGACAGAATCAAATCAAAGGCGCTGTTAACTGTCCAGCAGAGATAAAGTTTAGCTTCCCTGTGTACAGTCGGGCTCCAGAATTTACCCTAGAGAATTTATCAGTAAGAGCAGTTCCGGGTGAAGATGTACAATGCAATATCCTTTCGTATGTATTTTATATCTTTTTTAATTTTTTAATGCAGAATCTCACTATGCAGACCAATCTTCAAACTCCAGGTCTACTTAAAATGTATTGCTCTACTCTTTTGTGTTCATAACATTTAAATCCACTCTGTAACCATCGTGCTGGGTAACAGAGCACCAGAAACGACTCCTGCCTAGGTAAAACCGTGCCTTTGACCATTTTCTCCCCTCCCCATCCACCTCCGACCCACACAATACTCTTAATAGAAAAGAAGGTGCATTGTAATAGGCTGTCTCTTGTTCCCCGGGAGAGAGAGAGCCTGTCTATTTCTATATATAGTATTTTCCTTTTTACTGTGTTTTCATGATAAAAATGTGTTTTGTTTCCATTTTTTTTAATTTATAAAAGAGGGTAACTATAAAATGGATGGATAAAATAAATTACTTTTTAGACTCACTTATTTGTTAGACTTATTTGTTATGATTAAATCATGAACAAATGAAGGCTGGGGAGATGGCTCATCACACAAGCATGAGGGTCTGAGGTTGACCCCAGAACCCATGTAAAGCTGGGCACCATAGCAGGCATCTATAATTCCAGTGTTCCCAACAAAAAATGAGAGGTGCCAACAGGAGAGACCTCGGAAGGTAGCATGTCAACCAGCCTGTGTGACAACCCTATCTGTAGAGTGTAGAAGGCAAGAATCAATGTCCAAGGTTGTCCTCTGACTCCACATGTGCTCTGTGGGACACATACACTTTCACTCACACAGAGAAGTGCCCTATGAACAGACATGTACTTACAAACAAGTTTTTAGTTTATTTTTCCATGTATATGGGCATTTTGCTTACATGTATGTCTGCACCACATTCTTTCAGTATCCATGGAGGTCAGAAGAGGGAGACAGAGTCCCTGGGGCTGGATTTGCAGGTGGTTATGAGCCAGCATGTTGTTGCTGGTACTCAAACCCAGCTCTTCTGGAAGAGACATGCTAATAATTGGCCTGAGTTATCTCTCCAGCAACACCTTCCCCCCAAAAAAGAAAGATTTGCTGAGATCTGCAAATGGTGCAGGTAAAAAAATACCTTCCTCAAAACGCACAATTGTGTTTCTGTTTCCAGGCAACTATTCTTTCACAGTGTCACCCCTAGTGGCAGCTTTGGAAAGGAAAAGTGATCAATGTATAGATCTTTATGGGTTTGTCAGAAATAATTGCTATCATCTGTCTTTTACGAATAGAATACAAGACAAAATTCACATTAAGAGAAGAAGAAATCACGGTATAAAGACCTTGGGTTACTTAACCCCTTGGCAGTTTTGAACAAATAACCCCATGTTTTTAATCTTCCGTTTTTATATAACAGAGGAGGTTTTCCAATTCAATCTGTATAGTGTGTTTACGTCAGTAAAAATTTACAAATTCAAAAGGTATGCAGTTAAGGCTCATGAACAAAACGTGGTCAAATATGCAATGTCCATATAAGGAATGGAAAATAAATGCTACTAGGAAAAATTATTTCACAGGAATTTTCACAAAATAATATAGCTTTATTAAAACCAATATTCCAGGGGCTGGAGAGATGGCTCAGCGGTTAAGAGCACTGACTGCTCTTCCAGAGGTCCTGAGTTCAAATCCCAGCAACCACATGGTGGCTCACAACCATCTGTAATGAGATTGGATGCCCTATTCTGGTGTGTCCGAAGACAGCAACAGTGTACTCATAAAATAAATAAATAAATAAATAAATAAATAAATAAATCTTTAAAAAAAAAAAAAAAAAAAAACCAATATTCCACTCAAGAAAGAAAAACTTCCAAATGCAGTCTCTTAACAGCGATCAACATTGCCAAGTACTGGTGGAGTCAGTGGTGTGCCCCGTTAGCGCTCTGCATTGTAAGTCAATAAAACTAGCTCCAGCCCCAGCCACTGGTAAATACATATAAACCATTGTACACTGTGCAATACCCTAGCTGTGAACTTAGAATCACACAGTAAATTGTCATAGATGTGGGTGAAACCAGAACCCCACAGCCCTAGCACCAAAATCAGTGCTGGTCAATCCTGACATCAGCGCCGTACACCAAGCAAATACTGTGGCCAACCATTGCTGACATGATCAAGCCTGTGTCATTTCACCTGTGTTACCATTTATCCAAGATGCATCACCTACCAGAAAGCTGCGCTCTCTTTGATGTCCTACCCTCTGACAGAAGCTAGCAATAACTGGGTTCTGTGTATTAGTCCATGGCGTACAGGTAACAGTTGCCAAACAGCAGAGCAGAGACATCTCCAAAGGCAAGCAAGGCCAGTTTGCTATGTCAAATGTCTTGATAACCCTGAGAATATAACAACTAACGCTCTACTGATAGTGACCGAATACCGAACTACAGACGGCGCATTTGGCATCCGAATGAAATCTTGGCTGCAGGCAGATACTTCTGTCCTCAGAGGCAAAGTCTTTCAGCATTGGTAGTTGGTTTCTTTCTCAACTAGACAAATTTCAATCATATTTTCCACACTCCAGGAGATATATATATTCTCTAGATAATGTAAGAAAGACTTGACTACACCTCCTCAAAACTACCTTGGTCACCCAGTCCATGTGTCAAGTTTGCATAGTCACTCACCTAGATAGCCAGTTCATTGTTGCAGTCTATGTTAAACACTGCTGCCCAGTCCCAGATGTCCCTGGATACACTGGGTCCTTCCCAGAATTCCATCTCAGCAGGCCAGTGTTGTCTAAGTTGCCTAACACAAGCTTCTGCTCATCAGATTTCACTACTATCCGAGTGAGGGTCTAGATGCTGTAAATTAGCATCCTGTGCTTCTACCTCAGGGCTTGGCAGACAAGTGACCTGACCCTGTACAGAGCAGTCCACCTTTGTATCAAAGTGTCTACTCTGGTACTGTGTCCAGTTAATGGTAAGATTCCCAAGGCTTCGTATCCTTCAGTTGCTTCGTTCTCAAAATAGCCTTCAGATAAACTTCTTCCAGTACAAAACGTCCTGAATAAAATGCCCTTCCACAAAAAAATGTCTACATGCATTCTGTTGCACCTCCAGTGCAGACACACATCACCAGCCTCGAGACAAGTCAGCACGTGAGCACAATCTGAGGAGCGAGACATTTTAACACATAGAAACTGAAGTTCACGGAAAGTAGTTTAAGGAGAGCATCAGGTTATGGTAGAAGATTCCTGATTGGCCCCTGGGCTGACTCAGACAAGTCGGGTGATCCAGAGTTTCATTTTTCTGCAAATCTGGGAAAGAAATATAATGGGAATAATATCAAGTCATGTCTCAAGGTCCTTTCTTTCCATAAGTTTTTGAAAATATTCACCTAAGTGAATATTTAAGCCTCACAGTGGCTTAAGTCACTCCTAGTCATGATATCTGGGACTGCAGACACCACTCCTGGTCCACAGTCTCACGGGAGCAAGAGAGATGTTAGTTAGCCTGTTCATGTGTTATTTTTCAATTTATTAAACATTTTGATGCATGTGTATAACACATTCTGGTCACGATTATCACTCCGG